CGCCGCTACAGGAAGGAGGTTGCGAGACAGAGCAGTGGGAGGTGACCGTGAGAGGAGGAGGAAGGTAGGAAGCGGCCCAGGGCACGGCTTTGGAAGCCCGTGGGTTGGTGCATTATGGGTCTCAACCCCACCAACCGGACCCGTGAACCGAATCCTGGTCCTTAGGACCCCTGGGCTGGGGCTCAGAGAGAGAGTGGGCCCAAGCCCCACTACATTCCACAGCCGCCAGCTGGCCTAGAAGGCCTTCGACACACTGGACCGTTGCGAGAGACTGCCGCCGGGTTAGATTCGTCCGATGGATCGGTCTCCTCACAGTCAGTGAGGACACTGAGGCATGCTGGGGAGGGCGTTGGGACAGTGGGTAGAGAAAGGATCTCCCCACAGGGGCCACGCCCGCTTGGTTGCACTGTGGTTAGACTGATTCCATGATCACAGCAGCACCAAGTCATCTTGGTATTCCACTTCCCTCACCTCCTACCAGACTGCAGCTCAGTCTGACCTGAGAACTATGGCCAGAGTAGCATAAATAAGGCAGGTGGCTGAAGCTTATTATTTCTTCAATAATAAAAGAAGAAAAATAGCTGTCAGGAAATTTGAAAGGAAAACCCAAACAATTCCCTCACCTCCCTGTTCCCAGCTGTGAAGCAGTTCCAGGTCAGGGTGGGCACGCCCTGTTGGTGTTTGAAAAAGGCAAAAGCTTTATAGAAAATTCTGATAAGATTGTTATAGCAATTGTGACTTTCAAATTTTTAGCCTCCCACACTCTCCCAAACTAGGTCACCTTTAGAGAATCTGTCACTTCTCTGCGTACTCTCTTACAGCAGGTTGCCAGGCTGACAAAATCCAGGCCTGGGGATTAAGTCATTGACAGCTTATTAAATATTTAAGTAACACAGTTAAAAGTCTGATTCACTTTCCATTATGGGCGCTAACCCAATGTTGTAATGTCTGAGTTGAAAATATGGGTAGGCAATATTTAATCTATTTTTTAAAATTAAATTCTTTCCGCTGGATTTTTTTAAAAAAAAGGAGGCTGACAAAATCCAGGCCTGGGGATTAAGTCATTGACAGCTTATTAAATATTTAAGTAACACAGTTAAAAGTCTGATTCACTTTCCATTATGGGCGCTAACCCAATGTTGTAATGTCTGAGTTGAAAATATGGGTAGGCAATATTTAATCTATTTTTTAAAATTAAATTCTTTCCGCTGGATTTTTTTAAAAAAAAGGATGGAAAATATTGTTACCCTTGGATTTAATAAAAGCTGATTATGAAAACAAACAAATCACTTAAATCTTGGGCCAAAATTGAACTGACAGAGAATCCCAATTATTCTGATATCCCAGTGCAAGTCACAGGCCTCAATGTTCAAAAGACAATGGGAACTGAGAGTCACAGGAAATGGTCTTGCTTTTAAGAGTTACCCACTCTCTGAAAATCAGTCCCTTTTTAAAGGTGAACACCTAAAAATGGGGATACCCTAAATCAGCAGTCACATCTGAAACTTCAGGTCAGAAATACTGCAGTCGATTCTAAGGGTACAACTAAGTTCACATTTGCTTTTGTTTCTTATCACTGTCACCCTCAAGGCAGAGATTGTTTCTTCTTGTGTGTCTGGATACCTGGGGCAATAGGATTGTATTCTGCTGAGGATGTTGGGACACCATTTTAATATAAACATAAAGTAAAATAATGTAAAATAGTAACACAAGCACCACTTCCCACCAGAACATGCTGCTAAAATGTCACATGCAGCAGTAAAATAGTAACACAACCACCATTTCCCGCCAGAACATGCTGCTAAAATGTCACATGCAGCCTTAAAGCCTGAAAAAAGAAAAGGGCTATTGTAATGTAAATCTGGACATGGAAATATAGAATTTCCCCT